CGGGGCAGAGTACATTTATGACCCAGACCAGCCATAAACGCGAGCTTACTTGCAGAAGTGTGGAAATGACCGGAGACCGCACGATACCAACTGCAGCGTTTACGATTTCCAATACTGCCATCGTCTGCACGAATTTGAGAGGTAGTGACACGACCATCCATGTACTTTGTGCCACTTGGTTCCAGTCCTGGTCAGTCTGTCGAGCTTGTAGCACTGTCACCATAATAAGATACAAGAGATACGCCCATCCTGCGCATGAGGCGGCATTAAAGGCAAGTAAGTACACGTTAACAAGCGAATTCTTGGGCATTTGCTGTGTCAATTCCTTCCTGAATTGGAGCGATGATTGGCTAGGACTGCACATGAACAGGTACCGGTAACAAGTCGGTATGCACATCAGACATTTAAAAAATTGACTATTCATGAAACTATCAGTAAAGCTAGAGCTGACGCAGTCTTATAGCAGCTTTTTAGCGCTTTCTGCAATCACATTTCGAGTTTAAGAACTGCCAAGTCTGCTTTTGAGTCCATCATCCTGTCGACGGCTTTATTTTAGTCCGTTCCAAGACTCTTGCGAATCTGCTCCGTAACCTTGTCCATCTCAGCGTGAGCATTTACTTCCGTAAGCTTGCCCTGTTTGCGGTAAAAATCGATAACCGGTTGAGTTTGCTTGTGGAAAGCCTGAAGACGTGATCCCAGCGTGGCCTCATTGTCATCCTTGCGTTGAATCAATGATTCGCCAGTGATATCGTCCTTTCCATCGACCTTAGGTGGAGCAAACTTTACGTGGTAGCTACGGCCACTGGCCGGGTGCACGCGACGACCCGCGATACGCTCTACCAACACTTTATCTGGAACGTTGAAATTGATGACCGCATCCACCTGGACATTTTCCGCAGCAAGCATTTCGTCGAGCTGTGGCAGATATGTTTGAGCATAACAATGTCTTCCCGGATCATTACTATAAAACGTGCCTACCTTCTTCGCCTGCACGACCGTGCGGGGAAAGCCGTCGAGAATGAATCCTCGTCTACATTCTGGGCTCTTGATAGCGTCCTTAATAATGCCAACGACAATCTCGTCGGTCACGAGAGCCCCCGACTCCATAGCAGCCTTGGCCTTCTTACCCATGTCAGTGCCGGCGGCAACGGCGGCACGCAAGATGTCACCCGTAGCCAGATGACACAAGCAATATTCATCTTTCACTCGAGGTGATTGCGTTCCTTTTCCACAGCCAGGGGGACCTAAATGCAGATTGTAGGTCAAAACACATCTTCTGGCTTTACGTGTAAATACATATTGTAAAGACTAGCTGCGTACCGATGAAGATAGTACGACGCTCTTTCTTACTGGCGCATTCAATACGCTTCTGCAGCTCCGAAAGCAACAGGCTAGTGGGTACAGCGGCAAGAGACATGGCAACAAAACGCAGGGCGGAGGTGGAATCGGAACTGACAGGTCTCCATCAAATATGCATCTCATGTCCCTACCCCGCTCACAGCTTCGGTATACCGGTTTATGACTCACTCAACGATTTAAGTACGAATTCATTTTTTTGCCAACATTAAAGACCTGCGCTGTATTATTTCGTCTTGTTTTCCAAACGCGCATTGCGTTGAGTAGATAGCTCAGATACCCATGACTGAACAAGAGGTGTACGAAACTTTCCCTTTGTGCTCTGAAAAAAATCGTCAAGTGAAATGTTCTGGGCTACAAGCAGCAAGAGAGAAAGTAGCGTTAAACACTATGGGCAAATAATGTATATGAGCATGCAATTACCTTTCTCATATTCGTCAGCTTGCAGGATCATTTCAAACTTATCGAAATCCTAATGCGCATTATGTAAATGTCAAGATATTAGCAGCTATAAAGCATATTGCTTATCTCGAACATTTGGACATTTCGCACCTTGACCATTTTGGCCTCTTCAGTCAAACCAGCTTCATACTCATTCCATAGCTCACGAATCTCCAGAGCAGATGGTGTGTCACCCAGCGTGCTGCAAATATTATCAAGCGCCTCCTACATTAGCATTCGCAAGTTCATCAATCAAGTCCAGATTTCACACAGAGTATCTCCGCGTTGTACCTTCTCCATGCGATGCTTGACCTCCTCTGCAATGCCTGCTTACAACAAAGGGCATCAAATTAACATAAAGCCTCCAGGTCCAAGCAACCAAGCTCAACAAATGAATTACCATCATGAGGCGTGATATCGCCAATCAATGACTCGGCCAGGTCGTGCACAATTGCCATTTTGATGCATCTGAATCATAATAAGTTGATTTCAAACAAATTCAGTTCAGAATCATCCATTCTTGCACACAGACACGTACTTAGAGCGATTCAAAGCCTCATTGGCATCTTCCAGCAGCATACAGCACATACTCATGCGGTACATATGGTCAGCCACAGACTCTGGCATTGCCACTTTGTTGTTTACCCATCCAGTGCGCTTGAGCGTCTGTTACAGTCAAAAGTTTTAACGCAACCGTAGCCTTTCACCATGCATATCCTTACATAGTGCTCCAACTTCAACTTTCGGTCATAAATTACTTACTTTAAGACTTCCACAAAGTCGCAAAAACTCGATGGCGCATGTTGCCTTGGATTTTGTCGCCATTCCTTATGTGTTTTTAAAAGTTCCACCGTTCATAATGTATTTAAGCCAATTAGCAACATTGGCGCATTTATCATATTATAAATGTGGCCACGCCGACAACGACAACCCAGTAGGTGTTTGAGTGCAGAAGATTCGGGTTCAGTGGCTAGTACAACGCCTTCCATTGCAGAAACCTCTCATACTGCTCCTTCTCATTCCAAAGCGTTATTTTCACCACGCGGAAATGCCACATATGAGTCTGATTATAAAATCAAGCCACAAAAAAGTTTTAATTCTAGTACGGATGACACTGCGTGGATGTTGCGGGCTTTGAAAAAGAAGAAACGAAAAGCGAAATCTACAACAAAAATAAATGCCGAAAGTTCTCAGGACGCCGAAGATTCGGTGAATTTATCAATGCAGAGTTCGAGAGATGTGCAAAAACCTGATTCGATAAATCTTACCATGTCATTACAAGAACGACAGCAAAGATGGCGTATTGGGGCTTCGAAAACACCTCACAACGAAGCTATAGAACAAGCAAAGAAGGAGGAGCAAGACCGACAAATAACAAGTTTTGATCTTGTCTTTCAAGAGGTTTTTGGCACGAAACATGCTAAGCCGAAGGGAAACATTGTGGCTGAGACGCAAAGCAATTTTAACGGAGCTGATCTATCCTGTATGAAGCTTAATAACAACGTGGACAGTAATCAAGAAAATGGTGAACAAACAGATGAGAAGATTATAAGAGGGAACGGAAAACGAAAAATCACTGAGCAAAAAGATAAAAATGTTTGGGGCTTCGCCACAGATGATAACTCTGCGCTCAATCTAAATGATTTTGATATTCCGGAAGAAAGCTTTGACGTTGGTGCTGGTGGCGTTATAGCAGCGAAGAATCTCGCAAAGTTTGAGCGATGGAAAACGGAGAACGCGCAAAGGGAAGTGAGTACTAATTTTGTGCGCCTTAATATGCGTAAACGGTTTAAAGGCAGTTCTGGTCATGCAAGAAAGCAACCAACTTATTTACGCCCACGAAGTGAGGATTCGCTTAATAAAGAAACTGGTGATAACCTTTCGAAAGGAATTGCACCATTCGTCGATGCAAATGGATATCAACAGCAGAAGAAAAACAAGTCATTACTGGCTGATGCTAGTGTCGACTTTATTGAGGAATGTCTTGAAGCATTAGCCAAGGCTGAAAAAATGCGTGAAGGCACACGTGACGATCAGTCGGATTTACTTCAGATAGGTGGGCCGGTAGATCACCCAAGATGTCACCATGCACTGATTTGTCAGATCGTAGAGGTAAAAAAAAAGAACAAAAATCATGGTCGGAGATTCTATGCATGTTCATTGGGTATGAACGAAGGTCGTTGCGACTATTTTTTATGGGAAGACGATCATGTTCCTCTTGCTTTGCAGACATTGTTCACTGCATCTTCAGCCGATGTATCGGCTGCAGAAGCACGACCAATCGAGTGTGTGCCTCTCGATCTCAAGTCCTCGGAAAATGAACTGCGTGATGCGATGGTTACTAATTTGCGTCTGGTGTTTGGACATGCCGAGTTTCGACCTGGTCAGCTGTGGGCTATTTCAAGGGTGTTGCGTCGAAATGATACTCTTCTTGTACTACCCACAGGCGCCGGCAAGTCTCTGTGCTACCAGTTCCCAGCACTTTTCCTACCTGGACTCACTCTTGTGATCTCTCCACTCATCGCGTTAATGAATGACCAATACGAAAGTTTACCTGCCCCACTAAAAGCTCGTGGTGTGTGTCTTTCGAGCTCGTCCGAATCCGGTTCTTCCAAGGCAAAATATGCAGCTTTTGTACGCGATTTACTCGCAGGCAAGCTTTCTATAATATTTCTATCGCCAGAAAAGGCACTGAGTGCCGGGATGCAAGCTCTGTTAGCATTGCCTAGCATTCGTGCGCGTTTGGCCCTTGTGTGCGTGGACGAAGCGCATTGTATTTCCGAGTGGTCCCACCACTTTCGTCCAAGTTATCTGCGTTTGGCTGACATCTTTTGTCATGCTCAATGTGTCCTGTGTGTCACAGCGACAGCTTCCAAACGCGTCGTGCGTGATGTACTGAATCAGCTGCGCTCGCGTCGCCGATCACATCCTAGTGTTGGTGAAAGTGAAGATACAATGGTGTATCAAATGCCGTGGCAACGATGCAATCTGGCGCTTGAAGTGCGATCTGTAAACTCAAACGACGAGCGACTTCGCCATCTCGTTCATATTCTCCCTGAGTTGAGCAAAGGAGTCAGTCAAGGTACTGGAGGAGGCGTCATCGTGTACGTTCACCAGCAACGACAAACGGAAGAACTAGCAGCGCTTCTTCGTGAGCAGCTTCCGTCTTCATGGCGCAGTGCTGGCAAAATAATGGCGTTCCATGCTGGGATGGCACCAGAAGCAAAGGAAAAGGTTCGGATGGGCTTTGCGCGAGGTAGAGTGCGTGTGGTGTTAGCCACAGTGGCTTTCGGTATGGGTATTGACAAGAAAAATGTGCGAGCAGTCATACACTTTCACATGCCATCGTCCATTGAAGCGTATGTACAGCAAATCGGTCGAGCGGGTCGGGATGGGAAAGCTGCACGTGCACTGCTTTACCTGGTGGCTGAGGACGCAATTAACTTTCGCTCACTGCTTTTTTCGACGGCTCTGCACCGTGATCAACTGAGACGGCTCTTATCTCTCGTGTTCCAAAGGCATGAGTCGAGGGAAAGTGTTGTGGCCGTCAAGTATTCGTGTCAACAAGCTGGTGAAGAGCTCGCACTTGTATCTTTGGAACGAGATTGGCTCGAACGTTACCTTGATCTCAAGGCTGCCACTATCGAAACATTTCTAACATTGCTAGCACTCGAGACGCAGTGTAATCGAGCTGACAAAGCAGGCAACATGCACGTTGTTGTGCAACCTCTGAGTATGATTCAATGCACCGTGCAGTTACTAGACGCACAGGTCAATAAACTGGCCTCTCATTCGTGCATAAAGCGGCTGCTAGAAGCTATACGGAGCAAAAAGATGCCTCATGCGCGTTTAACCCATCGCAAAGATGGATACTTGAGTTCGTGGACACTAGATTTCCACGTGCACGAGGCAGCTCAATGGTACGCGCAGCCCAGCAGTGGCCAGAAGATACAGACTAGCTCAAAAGTTCAGCAAAACGGTGAGGCAAATGATGTGGCGGTCGTTGCAGCGAGCAATGCACGGCGGATGCTGCAGGATCTGCGAGTAGCTCAGCAAACTGGCCAGATTCAGCGCTTGACGCTGTCACGACCTGCATATCAGATCCAAGTGAGTGGTCAAATCAAGCTGACAGATGACATGAAAGATGAGGCCATCGAACGATGGACAACCGTTTTGTACGCAAAACATGAAAAGCTTGAGTCTCGCCAGCTTGTTCGTCTAGCTCATCTATATGCTGCACTTCATGCAGCCTCATTGCCATCTTCAACTTCGACAGAAAAGCACGTAGACAAAGACTTGGACGACAAAGCGCAATATCTGGCAGTGAAACTAACGCAGTATTTTGAAAATGACAATGACATCCATGCAGACGAAGACGAGGAGTTACTACAAAAGCTGCTACGTCCTTTAAGCGCATCGTTAATTGAGTGTATTGAGCGTGACACTCGTTCGCTGGTACAGGAAGGTCTTAGTGGCGTATATTTGACTGATGAAGGCACACCAAAGAATAACGAGGAAATAAAGTGGACAAGTTATGCTGTAGCCAAAGTTTTTCATGGTCTGACGACGCCTTTATTTCCAGCACGACAATGGCGGGATCATTTGTGTTGGCGGAAGTACACCGACGTGGCTTTTGAACGCATTGTAATTATTGCACATAAAGTGTTGATGGAGGATCATCGTCTAACGATTCGCGATTAATCACAATTCAAAAGTATGATACATGGTATTACTTCTACTTACATTGTTAATGTCTGTTGATCACTACCGTCGATGACTTGTTATTTGTTTATCGCCAAATTTGTGAACGATTGAGCAAACTGATAGATCACAAAAGATCTGACGACGCTTCATTCGTGGGCTTTGTATACTTGTAGTACGAACGTTGCTTCGTCTCGTATGCCGCAGGTTCCGAGATCTTTCGAATCAAGCATGTGGTCCTGTATCTTGTCCTCTGTTTCGCAGCCATGAGAGTGCTAGCAATTTCGACACGTCTCGCCCTAGATTTTGCTGACATCTGGCCGGATTCTAGCATGGAAAAATGGCTTCCGCTATAATGTAACTTGCGTGCTTGGGTTTCTCTCTCAAGCATAGTGCTTCTTGTTTTCTGAAGCAACTCCACTTCTTCCTCGTCGTCCAAGTCTTTGCCATACATCTCACCACGTTCACCTTGACGACCGAAGTCGCGGTAGAAACGCTGCGTAAAGTCAAAGTTGTTGAAACCTTGAGCATCGTTTTCACCATTGGTATTTGCGCCGCTTTCATCTTCTTCGCTACTACTGAGGCGGTACCTGCTAAGATTCGACCTGTATTTCTGGTCTGTCACCGACATAGTGAACGCAGGGGGAGGCACCAGAGGTTGGTGATGGAAACCGCAAGCCAATGACATTGCCGCTGAGGCTCTTCGAGCTGCACTAAACGACTCAGGTACACCATTACGCGATACTTTTCTGTGGTCTGCACACCCTAGAAAAGTCTCAATGTGTGTCATCATACTAAAACAAATGGCAATTAATTGGCGCCGGTGAACAACCTCAACAACTTCAAGTGTCTGTTGTAAGAAACAATTAAGCGCCAAAGATCGGGCCTCAATCACACTCTTGGAACGTGACCGGAACAATCGACGGTGCGGAAATTGCTTAAACACGTATGCAAAACGATCGAAAGCATGTGAAACGGAATGATGGTGACGGTGCTTTCCGCACAGTGAGCTGATATTGCAGCTGGTGCTAGCGCTGGACGTGATATTGGGGGTGTTAACATCAATACTGTGTTTGGCTTCATCCGTCTCTGAGCTTGTAAGATATGCAGCCATCTGATCGTCAATCAAAGATAATAGTTTTTCGCGCAGCTCGCAAAACTCAGAAAAACACCGACGGATATGCCAGCATTGTCGAGTCTGAGTGTTCTCAACCCGGAGAATGTAGACGGTAGATGGCTTGAGAGCCAATGCTGACGTAATGAATGCTGACAATGAATGTGCTGCTGTGTTCATGAGAAGCTGCGCAAGCGAAAACGAATAGGAGAATGTGGATCCGGTAAGATGGTAAAATCCTCAGAGGTTTCGCTTCGGCCTTTCGATTTGCTATCTCCAGTAACGATAACTTGATTTTTATGGCGCTTGATGTATGCAAGAGAAACTCAAAGTGTGACAGCATATTTGAACGTCCGCCGAAGGTGAGACCATCCTACCGGTCAGAGACCGACTGGATAGAAGAAAGGAAGCCCTTTCTGCCTTCTGTTTATCAGGCGTAGATTTAAGAGACTTATTTTAAGTTTTTGATTGTTATGCTCTCAAGACGAAGGGAACAATTAATTGGTACTGACCATGTAGCTCAAAGGTAAGTCATAACAACGTTACACTCGTGAGACTTTCACGACGTAACCGTGGACGACGAATTCGAAACCGCTTGCGGTACCGTTCGTGATCATAGTTTCACTACTCGACACTTTTGCAAATAGCAAGCTGTGCGAGCTACTACAAGTTACACTACAGTAAAGCTTTTCAACGATCGAATTGTACAACTAAAGAGGTTCAATAGAATTATCTTTTTTTGCTGCTCTTGATTATCAATTTCTTCTGTTTGCAAAAGTGACGAGGGTGTGACTGGTGTACTGTAGATGATCTGTAGGTTCTGCTGAAACTTTGCGATCGCTAAAAACAGAATGTAGAGCAGGTTTCTTGATATGATACAGCTTTTGCCCATGATTCGTACTCACGATTGCTTGTGCGCTCGACCTCACAGTGAAAGCAAGGAAATATAATTGTAGAGCGTTTCGTGTTTTAATAAAATATTAGAAACTTTATCTCTCTCATCCATCCTCATCATGAACAATGGAATTTTGTCGGTAGACAACTATCCGCGAAGGCATTACATGCTCCACGAATTGTAGCAATTTGCAGTGGTTTGAAGGAAAAAATGCTCATAAGACGTCATATACCTTCGGGTGTAACTGGATACGTACTTGATTATAGTGTCCTTACACAAAACACTATTGTCCCCTACGATGCTCAAAGGATCTAGGTGAAGTACGTAATAGTGATGGTATTCGCATGCATTGGAAAACGATGTCCGTATTATTGTACGATGATTACATTATACTTGTATTTTTATGCGATATTATCAAGTAGCAATGTAGATGATTTTATTGATGGATATTAGCAGCACACATTTATTAATTATTTATTTAATATTTCGGTCCGGCTATTGGTTATGCGTAGAATGCATGGGCAGCCAGCGTCACACTATATATACAGTAAGGTTTACAAGGATATGTAGCTTGGTACCCATTCAGACATTTGCTTAGTGTGAAGGCGTTTGCATCTATATACTAACTAATACGACTACTATCATTCTATCTAGTCCATCCTGCAATAATGAACACTAATTGTTAGTGTCGACCGAGGTTTCTGTGTTCATTGCAGGATTGCATCGATCCTGACGTTTTCAAAAGTGGTTATGACTGATCGAATCTGGGCTATTGTATCCTACTCTTCGAACCCACCATCAGCTCGCATCTCGTCATCATCACTCTCGTCGCCATCCTGATCTTTTTCATCATCACTTCCAGCGCCAATCAGTTTATCTTCACTGCCAGTGGCCAACGCCCTCTTCATCACTCCATCGTCCTTGTCAGCTCGACCTATCGTCTTCTTCGTGCCCAATAAAGCGCTACACACGACGAAAGACAAGGCAGATGCACATTTTGTGTCGCGCGTTCTTGAACACAACCAAGCAGCACTAAAATTCGCTGCTTCAGCGTTTTTTTGTCACATACCTAACCTGAAATAGAGAATCATTTTGCTTCGCGAGCGCCCCACAAGACAAACTTCTCCCAAGCTCTTTTATCAGTTGGCAGAGCAGAGCTTGTTGGAGATCATCGAAGAACCAGTGGAGGCAAGCACGTTCATGAGCACTACAATTCGTGTAAGTCACCCTTAGCGGCGGTAAAGTTGGTGTCGGTGCACGTCCGATAAAAAACAACTGTTGCGTCGGTCCAAAAAAAATCACAAATCGATCGGAGTATTGAGTTTAGCTGATGATCTTTCCAGCACCCAATACCACGAGGCAGGCAGCCGAGCACCAGGAGCATGAAAATAAGCATCTTGTAGAGATATTTGACGTCCACACCCATTAGCACAATCAAACAGAAATTTCCGTAGACTTCTTCTCTCACTTCCGGTGACGGAAGCGTTTAGAACCGACGCCTCTTTTCCGATAGAGTCTTGTCTATGTTGCCAAGAAGATGCTGCATTTCGTGTTCACTTTGGTCGGGCAGCCAGCAAGCCATACTTCTTGGGTTTTCACGATCGGGCTCCAATGATAATGAAAATATATCAAAATAGGCGAGGTCGGTCGTGTTGATCAAAGGCTCGCCATCTGACAGCAGCAATTCCTCGATGCTGACGCGTCAAAATAGCCGTCGAGTGGTCATAAACAGGTTCATGATTAGCTAGTGGTCGTTCTTATTAATTCCGCTGGTGTTGGCAGTAATCAGCAGACACAATTGCACGAGACCACTCTTCTCTCCTGAATCCAACTAAACACTTGGTATGCAGCGGCCCAGTCACCGGAATTTTCTCGCCGTCCACTGTCCTCCATTGCAATATCGCGTCGTTGTCCGAGAAGAATAGAGCGCAATCGTGGCAACACTCGATATCATCGCACAGCTAACCTTGCAACTGGAGCGTCACCCAGACGTCGTGGCAGTTCGAGTCATCTCTGTTTGCAACAAGTCAAACAGCATATTGAGATGTAAGAGATGGTACTTTTGCGCGTGGTTCCAAGCAATTGAATGTCTGGTGATACACTAGACCCAGATGTTTTCATCAAGATCTGAGAAACTGTGCTCATGGGCATTACCTCGAAGATGAAAAGCGCGCAATTGTACACAGAGTCACGGTCACTCCACGCACGCTGCGATCATGCAGAAGGTCTCATTACGAGTACTCTGAAATTTCGATCTCAGGTCTCTTGTCCACTTAGCTAAAACCCTCGTTGTTAAGATCGGAAATACTGAGGGCACGGTTCAGCAAATACAGCTAAGCATTTTCAGAGCGCTTGTTTTGGTCTCACCTATCTCGTCCAGCAGCACAGCGTTAAAAGCCAGCGTACTATGACGACATCGTAAAGTAGAGTGCAGCGGAATTGCCGCAGCCCTTTCGCTTAGAGGGAGCTAAGCTAAGGTCGGTGACCTTCGTTCTACACTTAGAACCAGTGCGAGTGTAGCGGATCGCAACCCGCTTACTACAAGAGTAACCTCGACCTTAACCCAAGGCAAAAAACATTCTTTCATTCAAATTGTCAGCTGTATTTCTTTGATTTCTTTGCAGCAAAGCCGACTATATCCAAATCTATAGGTTTTCCTGATTAAATAGTAGATCTAGTGAAAATGCATAATTACTGGCAGTCCAACCACGTACTAACTTTTTGTTAAGGTGCAGCCACACTTTTGTGTAGTCGCACCATCTTGTGTGACCCACCCCTTCATACCAGGGTACATGTAACCCCGTATCAGGTTGTTCCCTGCGCAAGGTGCGTCTAGGTAATCAAACCGACGTCAGTCTTCTGCTTTGTCGGGGAAACGACAACACTCAGACGGCGCGGGGCGGTCTACTGGGGAAAAACAAAGTTCTGTTGAACGTCAAGAAAATAGCGGTCAGCATGGCGCGCCCCGAAAGCTCCGTGCTTTTGAAAACGGAACGTGTATGCAAGCCGGGCGTGAAGGGATTTATAAAGCCATGGAAGATCCTGATCGACTCCGGGGCGTCGGGCAATTAATGCTCGACGCTCCACGATGGAACAAATTCAGCTGTATGCTGAGGCGCTGAAAGCGCGATTGAGTGGCATCGTCACTGTTCGCTAAGCAACGGAGACATGTGCCAAGGTGCCGAAGGTCCCTGTGGACCTCGGTGTGAAGTTTCTTGACTATATTAGAGTCGAACGCTGCTTAGTCTTAGACTTACACTCAAGGTATGACCTCTTTCTTGGTATGACATGGCTGGAACACCATAAGCCATGGATCGACTGGAGGTCGATCACCTTGGGTGCAGCGAGACTGCCGTAGCTTTGCGCTTTCAGGAAGCGTAAGTTAGGTCACCGGTCTCTCTCGTTCTATACACAGAACAAGTACGAGTTTAGCGGATCGCAATCCGCTTACTCTAAAAGTAATTATAGCCTTAACCCAAGGGTAATTAACTCTTCCGTTTAAGTTCGAAAGTTGCTTTATTTATTTTTATCTGCGGCAATGCCGCTTGATTTTAATTGCATAGATTTTCCTAAATATGTATAGTAAAATCTAAATACATGTGTAACTA